ACTGTTTGTGGGACACACTATGCACAATTGGCTGCTGCGTTTTGCCCACAAAATACAGTCAATTCACTGACATTACAAGGCACAATATCAAATTTAAGGATTATTATTATAGACAGGACCTTGGTTTAAAGTCTTATCCAAAGGACAGTATCTCTGATAATGCAACCCTCCCCCCAGCACAGAACTGGAGTGTCAACCAGTACTATCAGCTCAATGTCCAACATGGGACTCACAAACTTCTGACTCGTAAAGCTCAGTGAGGAGCAGTTTAACTGGATTAATCTCTCATGAAAACAAAGAATGATTTTTTAGGCTACCTGGAACCATTCAATTATAATGGACTGACAGCTACAATTAAAACAATTAAGTGATGTGCCTCCAATATCTGCCTCGTTATTGTATTGTGTTTTTGTTAATACTTCTAGTTTTCTTGGAATGAATTAAATTGTTGTCCTACTGATAATGAATTGCAAGTCAGTTGCTCAGCTTTAGAATTGAATGATTTCAGATGCTCTATCAAATCTAAATTCAACACACTGAGGAAAGTGTTCAAATTATGAACCACCTCAGAGATTTATATTTCGAAGTGTGCAACAAGTGAGGAAAGGAAGTGATTTCAATTAGAATTAACATCTTAGGTTTTAACAAATATAATAAAAATAATCCTTGCATTTGATATAGTTGAATTGATTCTTATCCGGAGAACATCTCAAAATGCTTCAAAAGATGTACTGCAAAGTTTATTGACTGTATTTTGTAAGTGAACCAGACAGCCAATTTGTGCACAGCAATTTCCCACTAACTGCCATAAAGTGAATGATGGAATTCCTACTGATGTCTAAATGGTACCAATTAGTCTTAGTGAAGGAAAAGGTTGGAAAGTTGCTTCTCACTGATCTTGGGAGCCATCAAGTGGCCAATTAAAGTAAAGCATTGAGAGAGGCTACAAGCTACAGCACATTCACTTCATTTAGAATTTATGTAGGTGCTTGTCCTGGGAGATTGGTAACAGTGGGTGGTTGTTTGAACAGCACTTACCCCTGGAAAGTGATCCGCCAATCGACGAACGACCGGGTTCCTACTTACTGCGAGGTGAACAGAAATGTGTGGAGTAAGGAAACTTGCCTAAGGTTTTGCCCTGCCAGGAATCAAACTCAGGTCCCTTGCTTGTAAGGTGAGCGCTCTAACCACTATGCTACAGAACTCCATATATTACAGTTGTTACAATTATATTATTGTTTATAGTGTTTAGTGTACACTTACTGTTGTATTAAGTGCAACAAGACCAATTTAAATATCTGTTATTTTAAATCTACCTGTTCTAAATATATTTTGCTTATGATTAGAAAGATTTGTCACTGCAAAAGAAAATTGATGTATAAGTAACAATAACTTGCATTTATAGTGCTTTTCACGTTGAATAACATCTCAACATGATCATGACCAGCATTACTTTGTTACATTGGTAGTAATATGTTCTACAACTGGAAACCTGAATTCAGGAATTTAAGTAAATTAGAATAGACTGTGCAGGTAGGTAATGCCTGATTGTAATAAGAAAGAAGTTTAAAAGATCTCCCCAGGGAACAAAGAGGTCAAAGTTGATAATATGTAGCCTATGTAAAAGGGATAAAGGGGAAACAAAATCCATAACACTTCCCTTGCCCCTTTGCAAATTGCATCAGATGTTACAAAAAGCATAAGACAGGCTGAGCCATTCTGTTTCCAATCCAATATATATTTTTGCACTGCTAGCAACAGTAACTGGAGAAGGCCAAGCTTGCACAGTTGAACAAAAGTCAATCCCTGCTCACTGAAGCCCAAATTCCTCGTAGACTTGGCTTTAAAACCATTGTCGGAAATTTAAAATCAGACAGAATTTTGGAAAATTCTTAAATTTGCTAATAATTAATTTGGAAGCTGTCTTTCTGCAGCTCTTCTTTTTATGATCACATTTTATCCGGAATGTGAGCATATCCTTACAGTTAGCAGCAAGTAGCCACTCCACTTCTTTTTTAAAGTCTAGTTAACCTGTTTGTTCATCGTTACTTAATGGTGTAGTGATAATTGCTCTAGCGTCCATCGTTCTTATGAAAAATATCACAGCAAAAGAAAGTCAGCTTTCAAGGTATAAAACACAATAGCAGGGATGATTGAGAGATACTAGAAGTGTACAGATATCTATTTTTCTGATATTTATAGCATCAATTTAATGAGCTATATTTCCCCATTTAGGCTCTTCCTTAAAGTAGTCTTTGGGCTGAGGTCATGTATTGAGAAGCTTGGAATTTCTCTGAAGTGTTCTGCTGTCAGTATATAATATTATATATAATATATAATCAGTATATAATACAAAATACACTGTTGCCACATTGCTTGTAGGAGTTCCGCAGATACGATGCGCCTTCTTTCCGTGCTGCAAATTTCAACAGTTAATAATTAGTAATTCCTGTCTTCTATATACATAAATAACATGATGGGATATAGGGCATAAGTAGTTCGGGACACATGTGCATGTGACCACCAGCAAGGTAGATGGTGCACTAGATGGATCTTGGTCTATTTTTTGTCAAGCATTTATGTTCTTATATTGAGATGGATGTACACCCATGATATGGCTCACTCCCCCTCAGAGTGTACTGTGTCGCCTCTGTTTTCAATCCTCACTATGAATGCAAGTCCCTATAACTAGGTGTAACTTTTGACTAAAGAGTTCTTCCACATGGACAGGTGCTACCAATTGCTACTTAAATTAAAGCAAATTGGGAAGCTTCAGTCAATCAGAGGTTTATTTTACACCTCTGTAACCTAGGCTGTACCTGTTTGTGTATTCCCTCCTTTGATTTATACAGAAAGCTTGAGTAAGCATGGTTAATTGCTACTTAAATTAAAGCAAATTGGGAAGCTTCAGTCAATCAGAGGTTTATTTTACACCTCTGTAACCTAGGCTGTACCTGTTTGTGTATTCCCTCCTTTGATTTATACAGAAAGCTTGAGTAAGCATGGTTAAGTTAACTCAATGGAATTTTATTGTAGCTTCAATTAAACCCACGACCTTCAGCATTAAATCTTAAACGACCTGATAAATATCAACAAACACAACTATGAGATAACAAACATTAATCACACTTATACTATATACGCTAGCAGCCACTTGTAATGAAGTTAATGTAAAGTGCATGAAGAACCAACCTCTGACTATTACTCAACAATAGTCGGAGCACGTACCATTGCTGTCATCAGGTAGAAAAAAACGAGTATAAGGCGCTCATTCTTTTATGGGCATTGAGTACCCTCACCCACCGAATTAGGATACCCAATGGTAATAATTGCACCAATTACTTGATGTAATTGGCGCCTTTTTTATGGTCCAATCTGATCCTCCCCTCAGTTGCCCAATAGGGGACAAGTGTACTTCCAATCCTTCATTTGCATATTAGAACGGTAAATTACCCGCCAAATTGTTGCAACCGACGTCTTTTGAGACCTGATGGCAACACAAGTATAAAAACGTTAAATACATAAATAATTGATTTAAAGGGCTAGTTCAATATATTTATAACGTGCATGCCCCAGTTCTTCCGAACTTCTGCACTTTCCGAGTTTCCCCGAGCGCAATCGGTAATATACTATCCGCACTTACACTGGCTAATGCTTTTAGCAAACGTATGAACTTTACAGAACATATTTTAAATAGACGAGCATAGAAAACAATGGGGTGACTGACAATATACAGTAGCGCCTTATCGAGCGGTCGAGACGTCTCAAAGGGGCTTTGCAGGAGTTTTACTGTGGAGCGACTGTGTATTTTGGGGGAGAATAGTGAGCTCTGAGGCGCCATATCAGTGCAAGGAATTATAAGTATTATTATTATAATTGCTAATTCTGTACAGGAGTCCTGTAGCTCAGCGGTTAGAGCTCAGTGGTTTCTTCTCACAAGCGAGAGACCAGGGTTCGATTCCCGGCAGGGCCAAACATTGGGCAAGTTTCCTTACTCCTTTCTCCTGTTTACCTACCAGTAAGTAGGAACCCGGTTGTAAGTCGACTGGCGGATCGCTTTTCCGGGGGGGGGGGGGGGGTAATAATTCCTTCAAGAAAAAAAAATAATAATAATAATAAATTGGCCGCTTCAACGCGCGACACCGTGGCGTGGCGACACCGCCGGTGCCCGTCAACGATCCGCCGCGTTTCTGCCCCCCCCCACCCCCCCCCCACCCCCAAAAAAAAAACCCCATGCAGCTTGAACGGTATAATCCTGCGAAGCGCTTCGAGGACGTCTCGTCTGGAAAGGAAGGGGCCGCGCGGTGAGGCGCCACAGCCAGAGGCGAAGGGCGGTGAGGACGGCGATCACGATGGTCATCATCATCATCATCATCATCATCATCATTATTATTATCATTATTACTTTCGTTACAATTCTCCCTCTTCTTGTTGTTAGTATCGCCATCATTATTACTGTCAGTAGAGGGGACCACATCATTACCATAAAAGGTGGTGCGCGGAGGGGTTGAAATGTCTGCCCTGTGAGCACATTGGCCCAGAGAGGGGGGGGGGGGGCACGTGCCGGGGCCTGACCCCCCCTCCCGGGAGGGTGGGGGGGGGGTCACGTGCCGGGGCCTGACCCCCCCTCCCGGGAGGGTGGGGGGGGTCACGTGCCGGGGCCTGACCCCCCCTCCCGGGAGGGTGGGGGGGGGGTCACGTGCCGGGGCCTGACCCCCCTCCCGGGAGGGTGGGGGGGGGTCACGTGCCGGGGCCTGACCCCCTCCCGGGAGGGTGGGGGGGGGCGGGTCAGTGTGGAAGGGGCCGCGCTGTGTGGGTCAGGTCCAGGGGGTGAGCGGCAGTGAGTGGCAGTGAGTGGCAGTGGCAGTGGGTGGCGGGGCGGCTCGGGCTGCCTGTGACTCTCCTCGGCCGTCCCGTCGCGCCTCCCCTGGGCGTTTTGCTTCAAGTTTGGAAAGGCAGCGTTGGGTTTGCGGGGGCGGGGCGGGCAGGGAGGGCAGGCGGGGGAGGGCGGCCATGAGGCGGCGGCGGCTGCTGGTGGTGGTGGTGCTGGTGGTCTGGGCGCTGCTGCTCGGCTCCTCGGGAGGTGAGTCAAGTGCCCTTCTCGCTGTGGCTTCTTCACGGTGGGGTTTTTGGGGGAGTTTTTGTTGTTGTTGTTGTTGTTGTCGTCGTCGTTTGTCTTTGCAACTTCTTCGACACCGCGAGCTCGGCAGGGGGCAGGGCAAGGGCAGGGCAAGGGCTGGGCAAGGGGCTGGGCAAGGGCTGGGCAAGGGGCTGGGCAGGGGCAAGGGCTGGGCAAGGGCAGGGCAAAGGCTGGGCAGGGGCAAGGGGTTGGACAGGGGCAGGGCAAAGGCTGGGGAGGGCAAGGGGTTGGGCTGGGGCAGGGCAAGGGGTTGGACAGGGGCTGGGCAAGGGCTGGGCAAGGGCAGGGCAAAGGCTGGGGAGGGCAAGGGGTTGGGCAGGGGCAGGGCAACGGGCTGGGCAAGGGGCTGGGCAGGGGCAGGGCAAGGGGTTAGGCTGGGGCTAGGCAAAGGCTGGGCAGGGCAAGGAGTTGGGCAGGGGCAGGGCAAGTGGTTGGGCTGGGGCTGGGCAGGGCAAGGGGCAGGGCAAGGGGTTGGGCTGGGCAGGGGCAAGGGGTTGGGCAGGGGCAGGGCAAGGGGTTAGGCTGGGCTGGGCAGGGGCAAGGGGTTGGGCTGGGGCAGGGCAGGGGCAAGGGGTTGGGCAGGGGCAGGGCGAGGGGTTAGGCTGGGCAGGGGCAAGGGGTTGGGCAGGGGCAGGGCAAGGGGTTAGGCTGGGGCTGGGCAGGGGCAAGGGGTTGGGCAGGGGCAGGGCAAGGGCAAGGGGTTAGGCTGGGGCTGGGCAAGGGGTTGGGCAGGGGCAGGGCAAGGGGTTAGGCTGGGGCTGGGCAGGAGCAAGGGGCTGGGCAAGGGCAGGGGCTGGGCAAGGGGTTGGGCAGGGCAAAGGCTGGGCAGGGGCAGGGCAAGGGCGCAGGGCTGGGCAAAGCCTGGGCAGGGCAGGTGTCTGCTAAACGAAATACTGTTGTGTTTTTCTAAAAAATAATCCTGTTGGTTGTAGTTTAAACTCAGGAAATGTCATGCAATAGCAGTTGAGTTATCACATGTCAATCCAGAGCCGGAAGAAGAGAAGGTCTACAAGAGTTGATATGGTCATATTGTTCGTTTCATTGCATTTGTTTTTGTCTTTTGTTTGTATTTGCTACAATCTATGTTATCGTTTTGTAAACGTAAGTGCCAGGATCAGGTGAGGTGTGTTTTCTCCCGAAAACAAACTTGGTTTCAGTATTTCAGTGGTTTCCTTTACTGTAAATAATTACAACTTTGAGGGGAAAATAATTGTTCCTTGGATTTGTACAGGAAATAATGGATGTTCATATCTCTGCAGTCATCTTCCCCCACACCCACAAGAGATTAAACAGCGGTCAGTCTGCCCCTTTCTGCCTGTTCAGGTGGACTTTGTGATCCAATGGCACAAATTGCAAAAGAGAGGGGAGATTCTGCTGACAAAAACAGAAGTCACCGGGAACACGCAGCAGGTCAGGCAGCATCTATGGCGAAAGGAAAGTGAGTCAACGTTTCGGGTCTAACGAAGGGTCGTGGACCCGAAACGTTGACTCACTTTCCTTTTTCCGTAGATGCTGTCTGACCTGCTGAGTATTCCAGGGATTTCTGTTTTTGTAAGCAGATTGTCAGCATCTGCAGTATTTTGCGTTTAGGGAGATTCTGCTGGTGTCTTACACAACAGTTCCTCAGATAAAATTGCACATTCATTTCCTGGCTGTTTGTGGGGCATTGTGTGCACGTTGCCTGACACGATTCATCTACAGAATACACAGTGCCCACAATTTGCAGTAAATAACTTTACTCCACACGTCTGATAATAATCCCCCCCAAAAGAATAATAAATTGGTCACTTCAATCTATGACTGTTTGTGGGACACTGCTGTGTGCAATTGGTTGCTGCATTTTGCCCACAAATATCCAACCAATTTACTTTACAGTATATTCTGTGAAGAGCTTTGAGACGTCTAAAAGATGTGACAAGCACTACATCAAATGCAAAGATTATGATTATAAATCCTGTGAAGCGCTTTGAGATGGCCTCCTAAATGAAAGGTGAAAGGTGCTATGTCAAATGCAAAGATTGTTTATTTCATTTATTTTGCATAAGAGAAAATAAAACTTAGTGAAGGTCATGTGTATATTTTTTTAAAAACTGATTTTAATGAAGATTATTGCCAAGTATATTATTCACATTTTTGTCCTTGTGATGTCATTGATGTGACTTGACACGATTTTGTGCATTTGTAAAGCAATTTAAAATTTTGCCAAGCATTTATTTTCATGAAAATGAATTGTTTGATTTAAGTTGCCAGGCTACATTTAAATAGTTCCCTAAAATAGTTCAGGAACAATGATCATTATTTTCAGGGAGGAAATTTGTGCAAAAGGTTTAGTGTTTTCAAGGGTTTACAATTTATGATTTTAAAAAAAGTTAGTTTCCAATGCTGTGACTGTGGCAATACAGCAATAACATAGTCACGTCTCATGCTGTTTTAGGTAGCAACTTGTTATTACTAGCAACAGAACTAACTTGGAGCAATGCAACATAAGGCCAGTGCAGTCCACCTCATTATCAGTGCAAGTATGATTTGCCCACCTTGGGATGTACATTGGTATGCAAGGTTGATATATGAAAAACCAGGCAAAGTGGGCTACACACATAATTTCATTATTTCTGAAATCCAGGCTGAATGCGTATGATATTGTTTCATGTGAATCTCATAATAGGTCATGTGCAACAAGTGAGATTGCAAATTGGCTGCTGCCTTCGTCTACAAAATACAGTCACTAACTACACTTTACTTAAAATCCTATGAAACTCTTTGAGTTGTAATCCCAATGTGAAAGACGCTGCATCAAATGCAAAGATTATTTATCATTATTAGTATTGACCACTCCATTCTTCTTGATCACCTCTCCTCTCTCATCTACTCATCTCTGTGGGGCTGCATTCACCTGGTTCCAATCCTATTTGACCCACTGCCTCCACTTTGTCTCCCCCAATGGTTCATCCTCTTGCTTTTGCACAGAATAATCTGCAAAATAACTGTTGAGTATCAAAATCTGGGTGAGAGCTAACTTCCTTCAGTTAAATGTCGACGAGACCGATGCTCTCCTGCTTGGCTCCTGTCATTGCCTTCTAAATATCTCTACTGCACTTTATAGTACATCCTTTGAAGCACTTTGAGAAACATTTAGAGATGTTTCTTGCCTTGTCACCTCATGCACAGACAGCATAAACCTGCATGGACTCCAACTTGCTTCTTTGTCTGCACTTTTGGTTATCTTTCCCCTCAACACCTTCCCCTCCACCCCACCCCCCCCAGCTCAGATGCCCAGCCAACAGTGTAAAATGCTCTTCCTGATGCGAAAGGCACTATGTAAATATAAATTGTATTGCCAAGATGGAAATTGAATAATTGCTCCTCATGTCAAACAATATGAGGTTGCAGCAAACAAATCAAACAGGAAGTTTTTCTTTATTGCTAAATTTGTTGAATTTAGACCTGCAGAAGTAATGCTCAAGCTGCACAGCATGCTGGTCAGACCACATCTGGTGTACTGTGAAAAGCTCCGAGCACTGCAACATAAGAGGTTTGTCTCCCTAGGACCTAGAGGCAGCGAAAAGGAGATCAGCAAAGATGATCCCTGTAGTATGCTGACTTTTTGCTTCAAGTCATCCCAGGAATAAATAATAATCCTTACATTTGACATCGCTTTTCAGTTTGGGAAGAGTGTTTCTCAAAAAGTGCTTCAAAAGATGTACTATAAAGTGCAGTAGAGATATTTAGGTCACTGGTGAAGTGTGGTCACAGTTACATCAGTTATCGTGAAATAAGTTTATTTATAATGCTACTATTTTTCCTGCGAGGGTTGATTTTAATTTTATACGCCCTATAAGTTATTTACGTTGCTTTATTTCTGTTCTTTGAGCTGGAAAGAAAAATACTGTCATTAATTGGATTAAACAGCTGAGAAAATTACAACTAGTGTACAGTGAGAAAAAAAAGTAAAACTATTATGAAAACTTTCAATACAGTAGCCAAAGTGAGCGCAAATTGCTGCTTTGCCTACAAAGTGCATAGCCAATACAATCTACAGGAAATCCTGTGAAGCGCTTTGAGATATTTAAACAATGTGATGGGCACTATATTAGATGTAAGGATTGTTATTATCATAAAATATGTCTTCTGATGATGTTAGTTTGCTCTTACTCCCAATTCACTGAATATAGTTTGCCTTTTTATTAGAACTTTGGAGTGCTTCCTATGTAACCAAAGCCTTATTTTAGTTTGACTTCTCGGCTTCAGATTAGAGACAAAGTCCATTGAAATCTGACCTCCGTTCGGCAATATAAACAATGGGATCTGTAGGTGCCTCTCTTGTTTTTCAAGCAGATTAATTTTGCTGTTGAGGTACATTTTACTGCCAACCTACATTTTTTTCACTTTTTTGAAAAAATTAAATATGAGAAAATAACACATAATAGATTTTTTTTTACAAAATCTAAGTGGATGGGTGTGGGATGGGGGGACACCAGCTCAGGCCCGAAGGGTTTGGAGATCCACCAAAACACAGACATTCAGGGTCCTGACTTTGGGCCTAGAGGGGCTCACCATTTGTCTGCCTGCCAGGGCACAGCACCGTCAGAGACCCTCTTCCCTGGATTTCCCTTTTTCCCTCTTCTCTGGATTTCCTTTTTTCCTCCGGATTTCCCATGTTTTCCCCTTTTCTCATTTGGATTTCCCCTTTTCTTCCCCTTGTTTTCCTCAGGCTCCATGACCCTATCACCCCCATCCTCACCTGATTCCACTGACTTCCCATCACAAAGGATACAGTTCAAGATCCTGGCCCTCACCTTCAAAGCCCTCTATGGCCCTGCTCACCCTTACCTCTGCGACCTCCTAACCCCCTACCAACCTGATCACTCCCTCCGCTCAGCGGGCTCTGGCCTGCTTCACATCCCTCGCCTCGTCCACTCCACCATTAGTGGGCAAGCCTTCAGCCACTCTGCCCCCACCCTCTGGAACTCCATCCCGCAGTCCCTCTGCCTCGCCCCTTCCCTTGCCTCCTTCAAGACCCGTCTCAAGGCCCTCCTCTTCGACTGTGCCGTCAATCACCCTCATTCGCCCCCGCTGCCCTCCCTATTTGTTTTGTGACAGCACAAGCATTTCAGGATTGGCATTCTTAGTTGTGACTGCAAATTGATCCATTCGGATACTAAGTCTGGATTGTGACCAAAAACTGGAGCAATGCAACTTTCCCAAAAAGTTTAGTTTTGTGTGATCATGAAAATCATTCAATATCTTTTATTTTCCTCTGAAGTAGGGGGTATGAATGAAAGCTGTGACCATAACTTCCCTCGAAGCAAAAAAGGTAACTTTGTTCATATAAAAAATGTTCATGTCCAGCTGTGAAAATATGAATCTCTTTTTGTAAGGCTGGTATCACTTCCCTTAGAATTTATCTGGCAAGCCTCACTTGTGGGCATATATTTTAACGAGTTTTATGCCATGGAAATGATCCCCAGTGAGCTATAAAGTTGAAGGAATACACAAGACAAAGACTCTACGTCTAGCCTTATCACAATCAAGAGCTTCCTTGGAGACAAATTTTGAAATTTTAATTAACTTGTACTTGTCTGTGACCGGGTTACTATTCAGAGCTGATGGATTTTCTGTTTGTGAGTAGTTGGAATAACTAGAATTGACATGTTAATACCAAGCTGAACTCTCTCAGCCTCGTCATGAAATCTCTCTTAATTCCCACATAACATTGATTTCATGAGCTCCTTCTAGATAAAAAAAATCACACCTGATGTGACACAAGGAGGTTCGATTCCCATTCTCTACTGGACTTGTTGAACTCAGCCAGGGCAGCCATTGGCCATGGTCGATGCCAGGAATAACATGGGCTAGTAGATTATTTAATTAAGGCACTTTCAGGAGAAGAAAAAATTGGTGAAGAAATATAATAACAATCCTTGCATCTGAAATAGCATCTTATCATGTCTATGAGAAGTCTCAAAACGCTTCACAGGATTTACTGTGAAGTGATGTGACTGTGTAGGTGAATTCAGCAGCCAAAATGTGCACAGCAATGTTCCACAAACAACCATAGCGTGAGTAACAAATTTTTATTTGGGGGATTGTTGGGCAGGACATCAGGAGAAAGTTCCTTCTTTTATTGAATATTGCCATTGTTTCAAATAAGGAAACCAATATTGGAAAGAAGCTACTATACTGAGCCCAGTAACTGTGTAGATGAAAATGGAAAAGAAAAGGGCGCACTTTATAACACGGTCCTCTGGGTCGAATATCTCAGGGCCCGTGTTACAAGTGAAATGCGAATCAAGGCCAACTTTGGGATAACCGCAGGAAGTGACATCTGGGATGTCAAGCTATTTTGTAACTCGGAAGCTGACTAGTTAGGGATGGAAGCCGGGTTCATCATGCTTCCCAGTAATAATGGTCCATAGGAACTTATACTGTGGATATGGTCCATAGCATGCATAACTGCAGATTTTGCATCGGCTATTTTTTTTAGAACAAACTCCACTTGTTTATTTTTGTAAAGCATATTGTTTTATTTGTGGAGTCCTGTAGCTTAGTGGTTAGAGCACTCACCTCGCAAGTGAGAGATATGGTTTTGATTCTTGGCAGGGCAAAGTTGGGCAAGTTTCCTTCCTCCACATGCTTCTTGTTTACCTAGCAGTAAGTAGGAACTTGGTTGTTAGTCGATTGGCAGATTGCTTTTCTGGGGGTAATAATTCCTTTTATATATAAAAAATTGGTCACTCAATCCACGACTATTTGTGGGACACTGATGTGCGCAATTGGCTGCCGTGTTTTGTCCACACAATGTAGTCAATTCACTTTACAGTAATTTTGTGAAGCGCTTTGAGATGACTTGAAGACATGATAAGGCGCTGTATCAAATGCAAGGATTATTATTATATTTTTATCGACCATCATATACTGCATAATCTTCTTTTGATTTTTTTNAACTTTGTACAATACATTTCAGAATAAAAATCACTTTCAAATGAATAGGTGAAATGTGTGGCAGGATGCTTGAGGACTATGGTACATTGGTTTAGTGCCTCTTGAGTGCTGAGATCCCAATCTCAGCCACGCAATTGTAAGGCACCATATCAAATGCAAGGATTGTTGTTATACTGTATAATGCAGTACTTACCTTTGGCTTATTCATCATTGCCCCTCTCTTTCTCTTCCCGTCTCTCTGCCCCGTGTCCCTTTCGCTTTTCTTTCTCTCCCACCGCGTTCTTATTTTGTAACTGTGTCTGAAAGAATACCTTTTTGATTTGTCGCATTTGATTGTTATATTAACACAGCTGCTGATCATCTATCAGAAAACACCACTGTATCTATATCTGGAACAGCAACCAACGTGACTATATCTCACAACTCAACAAGTGAGTATCATCTGAGAAGGGAGGGAAGTTAGTGTATGTGTGTGGTAAAGATCGAAGTATTCATGCGTTCAACACATCTGGGCTCGACTACGCTTTTCTACACCCTGCTTGTCACCTTCCCGACTCTTCCCTCCATTATCCGGAATTCTGCAGCTTGTGTCCTCTCCTGTACCAGGCTCCGTCATCTCCACCCTTGCCCAGCTCCACTGGTTCCCCATCCCCCAGAGAATAGAAATTAAAGTCCTCGCCTTCAACAGCCTCACCTGCATGGCCTCGCCCCCTCCTCTCTCTCTACCCCACCCCTTGGAATTCCATTCGACATTCCCTTCGCACCTCGTTCCCTTCCTTGCCTCCTTGAAGGCATGTCTCAAGACCCTCCTCTTCGACCGACCCTTCGGCCACCTTCCTACCCTCCCTGGCCTCCACCCTCCCTCCCTGATCACAACCCCCCCAGGTTCAAATCCCTGACTGTCCAGCACCTTGGGACGTTCTCCCAATGTGAAGGTTGCTATACAAATGTAATTTTATATTTTGTAATTATTCCATCAAGAGTTATACAGTTTACATTTTTATAGTGCATTTTACATTGGGAAATATCTCAGTGTTTAGTCATTGTGGTGCTGATGACAGTTCTTGTCTTCTCCCATCTTCTGCCCCATCTTTCTCTCTCTCTCTCACACACACACTCCCACCCCTTCCCATCTACATGCAGATGCATATCTAGAGTTTGAAGGAATGTTTTGGATTTGTCGCATTTGATTATGATATTAACGCAGCTTTTACTACTGTTCATCTAGCAACTTCGATTCCAATCACCTCAACAACCACTGTGTCTACATCTGGTGCCCCAATTCACATTGGGAACACAAGTGAGTTTCACTCCAAACTATAACTTCTGAGCTGGCAAGTTATATTGTGCGTAGAGGGGGGAAGTGAGTCAATTGTTGAGGGAGTGTGTTAAATACAGTAAAGTCAGTTATCTGCACTAATTAAAATTGGCTCCATTTCCAGATAAGCAAACGGTGAGAATAATTGGACGGTGTGCAAAATGCTTGACTATAGTGAAAACTATTCATTCTATCAAGTTATACAATGCAATTACAATGCAAATACAATTTCGAGCACATTTCGCATCGGGAAACATCTCTATTGACAGCGGTAGTCTGTCTTCCTCTCCCACCTTCTGCCCCATCTCTCTCACCCACGGTCCCACCCTCCACCCCATGCATATCTAGTGTCTGAAAGAATATCTTTTGATTTGTTGCATTTTATTGTGATATTAACGTGATATTAATTTGTGGAGTCCTGTAGCTCAGTGGTTCGAGCACTCGCTTTGCAAGCGAGAGACCTGAGTTCAATTCCAGGCAGGGCGAAACCTTGGGCAAGTTTCCTTACTCCACACAGAGCCTAATAATAATCCCTCCAAAAAACAATAATTAAATTGGTCATTTTCAATCTACGATTGTTTGTGGGACATTGCTATGTGCAATTGGCTGCTGCGTTCGCCCACAAATATACAGTCAATTCACTTTACAGTGTGTTCTGTGAAGCGCTTTGGGACGTCCTCCTGATGTGAAAAGCGCTATATCAAATGCAAGGATTATTATTATTATAACACAGCTTTTACTACTGTTCATCTAACAGCTTTGCATCCAGCCACCTCAAAAACAACCATGTCTACATCTGGTCCAGCAACTACTAAACCTGGCAACGTGACTAGTACCATACCTCACATTGGGAACACAACAAGTGAGTATCACTCCAAACTGTAACTTCTGAGGAGGCAAGTTATTTTGGTACAGTAAAGGGCCAATTATCTGCCCTAATTGAAACCACCACATTTACAGATAAGCAGTGGGTATAATTGGAAATCACACAAAATGCAAATAGGCTACAGTGATAACTTAATGCAACAACTTGCATTTATATAGCGCCCCTCATAGCGTCTCAGAGCGCTCAACAGTGGCAGAGTACAACTCCAAGCCAGGAAGAGGGGGAGGTGACCATAGGCACGGTCAAATAGGAAGATCTTCATGCACGACCTGAAAATGGAAAAGGATAGAGGGATAGAGGATGTGTTCCAGAGTTTCAGGGCATATTGGCTGAAAGTGCTGGCACCAATGGTGGAATAGAAGGCACAGGGGACTTGCAGAAGGCCGGAGCAAGTCGAGTTGTTGGGTCAGCAGGTCAGAGAGGTAGGGAGGTGCCAGGGCATGAAGGGATTTGAAAACAAGTGCAAGGATCTTGAAATCGACCCATTCAGTGATTACTAGAATCATTATACCATGCTATAGTAGCGATTTGTATAAAATTGATATGACTCCTTTTATTTTTTTTGCAGGTATTCCTGTTACCACAATCTCTGTACCCATAATTTCACATTTTCATGCTGGAAGTTTTATAGGTGGTATTGTGTTGGCTTTTGCGCTTGTAGGTATTTTCTACTTTGGACGTAAATTCTGCATTTCCAGAAGTGGCACTCGATACAGAACCATGTAAGAAAAGAGTATTATATAGTGTGTCAGATTTATATGCCCTGCTGTTTTTAAAGTTTAATTTTTCTAAGGAAATAAATAGTAGCCAAAAAAATCACAATTATATTCTGCATAATTTTTACATGTACTGTTATTCCATTATTACAAAATCACCAATTTTCTTTGTTTTGATTCATTCTAGTGAAGAAACTGAGGCGATAATCTAATCCATTCAACCAAGAAGACATGTTGGAAAGTTGCCCTGCTTTTAATGAATTTATGTTTTAAAGATTCTATCTTGTTTAAAGAAATACTTTTAAAGCATTTTAATGTATGCAATTTTAAAACTCAATGTGCCTTTTAGCAATATTGGTCTTCCAAGACATCAGGGTTCAGTAGCTAAAATCACATACTGTATATCAAAAATATCTGGGTTCCAAGGATTTGGATGCAACCCAAATGGTACAAAATCTCACTTCCAACAGATTCAGATATCCAAAGCCAAGACTTAGATCTTCATAAAGCCAAAGTATTCTGTTTTGATCATCTAAGGCGAGCTCCAAAAGCTCTGCTTTACTGGCATGATGGGAATATGAGCTATTCTGAATTTGATATATAGTCAAACGTTTAAATGTGCATTGTCACATTTATATGTGCACCCATTCGGTTGTAATTAGAATTGTTTAAATCATACAGATGGTGTTTTACTGAGCTTTATTTGTTTTAGAATTGTTTCAACTGATGTTTGAAGTGATTAAATGAAAAATAAATTGCTTTCTGGGAAGTGTACAGCTTATGTTTCAGTCAAAAAAAAATTGATTAAATAAAACATTTAATTTCCCTGGCTTGACATGTGAAACATTTCCTGAACCTCAGAAAGCATGTAAATACTTTGGAAGCCTATTTGTGTTTGTTACATAACCACATTTTTAGTGGAACTTTTCTGAACGTTTCAAACGTAACATTTCTTTTTCAATGTGCAGTTTAAAATGTTTGATTCTAGCAATTGTAAATTTAAACTAGTTGGTCAAAAGAAACTTGTAACCCTAGACTATGAACTATGAAAGTAAAATGGGGTACGTTATGGATTCAACATAGTAAATGGATTACAAACTTGAAATGTATTTGAATGCTTTTCAGTAATAATTGAATTGCAGAACTAGTATTTTTACTTAGCTATTGCCATAGCAGCAGTTTTCGGTTTACCAGTGTTTGTTCAGATCGCAGTCTTCTCGCAGCTTCTCACAAAGTGGAAATACTGACTTAACAGTGCACAGGGATAGCAAGAAGACTTTGCAAAAGGCAGACAGTAAGTTTTCATTTGATACTTATTTTTCCTGCCTCTACCACCATGGTAGATTATCTTGTGGAGCTCACCATAGACATTTTTAAATGCATGTATTCATATAGTCAATACTATTGAATGTTCCAAAGCACAACGTTTCACATTTAATTAAAAGGCCATCTGTGTAGGACACCACTAATAGCTTAAAGTCAAACCACCCACCCAACTGATAAATGTAGGTTATGAAAGGACAACAGAAGTTTAAGTTTACTTTATTATCGATTTGTCCCAGTATGAATATGGTTGAGCCAGGAGGAAGTTGTGTGTGAGGAGGAATGTGATAAATCACTAGGAAAGATCAATGTATAATGTCCACCAATTTAGATGTTCTAAGCTGATAAACCACCACCTGCAATCAACTGAAGTAAATGTGTGCATATACCTGGTTTATTCTGTCCTCCCATAAGTGGCACCATATAAAAGTAGATTGTATAATTTGTTCCCAAACTCAACTGCAATCAGGGAAAGTATAAAACTTAGTTAAAAAGTTTCCCCAAGCACACATAAAATGAAAAAACAAAGGAATATGAGACAATTATTTATTTAAAAAAATACAGTTTAATGTATTTATGTAATCATGCTGCACCTTTTTCTTAGTTGCACCTACCACATAATGTTACATATTTTCCCCCTTACTCTGAAAATTAGTTGTCAAGTTATGAATTTCACCCACAAAATACAGTCAATTCACTTTACAGAATATTCTGTGAAGCACTTTGAGATGTCTCGAAGACGTGATAAGGCGCTCGATTGTCGGATTGCTTTTCCAGGGAATAATAATCCCTTCAAAATAAATAAATAATAATTTGGTCACTCAATCCACAACTATTTGTTGCAATTGGCTGCTGCGTTTCGCCCACAAGATAGTCAATTCACTACATTTTGTGAAGCGCTTTGAGATGTCTCAAAGGTGTAATGAGGCACTATCAAATGCAATCACTATTTATTATTAATAGCCTATTAACGATATGGTGCTTTTGTGCTCCAATTTGCAGTAAAGCCACTCCTCCCCAGCGTCAGAACTGTTTAAAACTTGCAGTATGCTGAATGGAGGATATTAACAATGAAGGGTTAATGGTTTTTAATTTCTTGCTTTAAATTTCATCAGAAATTCTTTGTACTTCAGATCTCTCTGGTTAATCACTGCTATCACAGAACTAAAGTAAAATATCTTAATTTTAAGTTATTAATCTTATACTGTTTAACTACTCACTTGCTGACTGAACAGTTAAACAGTATAAGTATTAATTTACTTGATTCCATGGCAATGTAAAATCTATTGTACTTGCAAGCAAAGGTTTAATTTGCAAACGTGTTGGTTAAAGTCACTGCACAAATCAAGCATGCATCAAGAACACTGGTGAAATAGTTCTACTTATTGGAAATAAGCACTTTACTGAAACTACGACATGAAGGTTCTAACTGTTCCTTTGATGGTGCCCCTGCAGATAGGGCACTTCCTAAGAGAAGGTGCACAATCTGTGCAGACCACTAAGTGACCACACATTATGAACACAACAGAAACCTCTTTGTCCATACACACTTTACAGGTTCTCTCTTCCTGTAACCTTCGTAATTGTTCCTCCATCGTTAGGCCTAAATGAAAAACATTTGATATGAACTGATTTATTCTTAATATCATCATGCATCAGAAAAACAAATTACATTGGTATAGTGCCTTTCACGTCAAGAGGATGTCCCAAGGCACTGGACAGTCAGGGATTTGGACCCGAGCTGGGGGTTGGGATCAAAAGGGATGGAGGGTAGGGTTAGTGGGAGTAGGAGGGTGACCGAAGGCACAGTCAAAGAGGGTCTTTAGACAGGCCTTGAATAAATGCTTACAGAATATAAACACTCATTATTGTGCACTAATTGCAATGCTTTAATGGGAAAGTCAATTAATAACTCCTGCTTTTAATATGTTTTTTGAAGGAAAAAATCTACCACCTCAATAAGTTTAAATATAAATGGGAGAAGGGAAAGAGAAGACACTTACCTGGTACATCCAATACTGCAGCAAGGCTTCTTTGTACTGAAAAAATGTAATAAGAAGAATTAGATATACATTATATTAATAGTAATGAGGATGAGATGCTTCAAGAAGATATGAGGTTTGCAATATTTATCCAATAATGCAGTATACTCAATTTAAACAAACCACACAAAGTTTAGTAAGACAGTTGTTCCATCAAGAAAACATCAAGAAGCCCAGTGGACTGGTATTACTCTAACCAATGGTTCAAAACTTAAGCATCCATTGGAAAAAGGTTTTACATTTGCCAAAGAAAATGATCTCACATTCTACATTAATAATGAGAATGACAATTTGTTCAATGTAGGCCACATTTGCTGGAACAAAATTTATATCACAAAATATAATTTGACACAGCAACAAAATCATGCCTAGCTTCTGAATTTTTAGTGAACAGAACTAGAATCATACAAGTAGTAAATTATGTACATTGTCTGCATTGTAGAAAGGCAACTCTTAACCTGACAATAACTCACAGGTAATACATTTGGGAGTGGAAGGGATAATATAAAGTTAATAGTGGAATGGAACTGGAGACTAATTAGTATTTGTTTGCCAGCAGTCAAATGCACAACACTGTTTGGAGACATTAGGTTTAAGTAAAGGGTGCTGGGTAGGACTATCAAGGTGTCCCAGCTAGGTTGAACAGGTAAATTCCAAGTTGGATTCTTTTTAATTTAACCACATGTCAAATGCCATTATTTGTCTCATAACATAATCACTTATGGATTTATTTAAAAATCCCCAGCATCATATTTGTGTAACAGCAGGTGCATTACATGCTTTTGCTGCTGCCAACTTTTCCACCTCAAGAAGAAAATAAACTAGTAGTAATAAAACAAAATGACAACAGGAACTATTTACCATATAGCTTTTCATGCAATTGAGGTTCGCGTTTTAATAGGACATCTCTAAACGCCTCAGCTGCTGCACTTCCTTTGGCGATGACCACATCAAGTAACACTCTGGCTTGTTCATTTTTCTCAGCTTTTTGTTTGATCTCTTCACTTTCTTCTCTATTAATAATAGATTGTGTTTCTAGATCATCAACTAAGACATCAATGTGGGTCATATGCTGAACCAGAGCAAGACGACTTTTTTTCAGTAGCAAGATATCTCCTGCAAAGACAAAATTAATCAGATTTAAGTTTGTATTCCACTGAAATAGTACAGAGCAGTAAGTAAGTAGCCTTCTCCCACCACACTTCAGTTTATTTCCCTTTTTAATCTTAAACAGAATTAGTCTCTAGAAACATTTTTCACTTTAGTCAGGTCAATATTAATTTCAACTTAGCTCGCCTGTGTTGCAGGTCAGCAACAATGGGTTCTGCCCCCTTCAGTAAACCTACAGGCCTTTAAGACTCCTTTTGTTTGATAAAATAGGGGGCTCATAGCAGAAGCTCAATTAAGCACAACCTTGGGCAAGTTTCCTTATACCACACACCTAATAATAATCCCTCCAAAAAAAACAGTAATTGGTCATTTTCAATCCACGACTGTTTGTGGGACGCTGCTGTGCGCAATTGGCTGCTGCGTTTCGCCCACAAATATACAGTCAATTCAATTCATAGCATATTTTGTGAAGCACTTTGAGATGTCTAGAAGACATGAAAAGCGCTATATCAAATGTAAGGATTATTATTATAAGCTTGCCCTTTTATTTTGTTTATCCAGCCCCATTTTCAAACACTGCAGAAAATGAAACACAAGAAGGGCTTCACCCTTGATGCATTTTCCTCATATATAGGTGCAGATATTCTGTTGCCTAGAAAGTAGGTGACCAACTAAATGCCTGAGTAGACTCCCAATCACTTTTTGCTAATCGGCAACCGATAACTGGATCTCATTAACAGAAGTTGAAAATAAACTGAAGGTCAACTGAACTGAAGTAACCGTTGCAATACATGGTGATAATCGTTTCAAAATCGTAACTAAATAAGCTTGAATACATTACAGATCACTGCATTTCAAAATCTTTCATCTGCATTGTACAAAGAACAATGATGTTTGATACAGAACACAATGAATAACATACCTTCAAGAGTTCCTTCCATCCTTTTTTCATGATGATCTTGTCTTTCTTCATCTTCTGCATTCAACAAATCTGTCACAAGTTCTATGACAGACTTATAATTCTCCCCATTTGTAATAATTTTTCTTTGAACGGTCTGCTTCACCAGTCTTCGATCGAACCCCATTTCCATAGCACCTTTGACCACAGGGGTATTCATCATGATTGCATCTTCAGATCGATTTTCCCCAGGTCCAAAATGAAAAACTAATTGGAAATTATGAAAGCATTTTTAGATAGTAAATATAATTTTCCTGAAGATATTTCCTTCCGCCCCCTGGGAACCTGTATACACTCCATATTATCCTCATCAATGAAAGTGAAACAATCCAGTTAAGATGTGAACTAGAAACCCTTGAAACACAAAGTGCATGGCTCCTAGTGTAATAAAACAGAACAGCTTTATCTGACTCCAAAATGGACAAATTAAAGCATTTAATATTCAAAAGGCTTAAGAATTCCAATTTTGAGTTAATACACTGAACAGAATGCCTTTCCTCTCAACTATAACTTGTTACCCCACCAAAAGCAGACATGTTATTATTCAAGTCTTATACTTGACCAGAATCAAAACCAACATGTTTGCTCCTTAACCAAGCTAAAGATGTAGAAATTCAGAGGACTCGCATTTTAACTATTTGCAAGTTACAAAAATGTCTAAAATAGAAATTTGAATGTAGAAAATTTGCTGCAAGTTCTCCCACATATGGTATAAAACCACAAGAAAGATAAATATCATCTGTAATGGAATCAGAAATGCAGAGTGGCAGGATGCAAATCACTCCCACAAGTTCAGGGGAAGAATTCAAAGTAGAGGGCAGTTTTCTCAACAGGAAAGAAGGAAAGTCTCTCACAACTACTCACATGCACCTCCAAGATGAATATTTAAAAACAGCATAAGCCAGGTCTAACTCTGAATGACAAGTAACAGGTAGAGGGCCAGAATAAAATATTTTGTTTCTGAAACTTGGTTTTCTGAAAGCAGCGATATAAAGTAGATACCTGGTGACTGTGTTTCCTCAATGGTGTCATCAGAACTCGAGTGCAGCTTTAAAATAAAAGTTTGAAAATGATTCTTCAAAAAATTATAATTTACTTTCTTAATTCAATTTTTCATAAATTTTCATATAATTGATAGTTCCAAGTAACTCTAAAGGAAATATTACCTGGAAATCAAAGACATTTGGAAACCTTGCTTGAATCTGATTTACAAAAAGTTGTCCTTTCTCCTGGAGAAGATATTCACATCTGCAATGAACAAAATTAACAGCAAGTTTAAAAAAAAATTCTAATATTAACGTGGAAGGTAATGATGGATGGGATGGAAGGGGAGGAGGGAAAACAAACAATATTACGTGAACTCAAGAACAGGTAATATTCCCTCTCAATATGGTTCTTCTATCCAGATATCATAAGAGTGATTGATCAGGTTTGAGCCTTAGATCATAAATAAATAGCAATTATTAAAAATCTGGCTAACTGGAATATTTTGTCGATATTTAAAGCAATTTTCACACTGAGCCAATATTAGTAATGCTTTTTATTCAAGCATTGCAACATTTGATATGCACGTGATCATATTGTCAAGATAATCCTTGCATTTTGCTAATGTCAAAGTGCTTCACGGGATTTGACTATAAAGTGGGTTTCTTTGGTCAGCAGGGTGTCTGACACATAAGGAAACTCACTACCACGTTTAAAGATTGTCCAAAACCAGAGTTCTACGCATGCCACCTATACATGGAAATTCTCATGTTTGGAATAGTATGCACTCTTCTCCCCGTAAGGACATATCCTACTTATCTAATTGCAGAGTATTAGGCACAGGTTAGTAAGGGCCAAGGCTTGGGGACCCCAACATGTGTGTTGGTTTACTGCTGTGGAGTTTAACTAGCTAAAATTGCTTAGCTTGCAATTGAAATTGCTTCACACTGCTTGCGCAGTTCGGACCACCCTAGACTTTAGCGATTTGGCTTGCATGGGTAACAACGCTGAGTGGGAAGAATCTCCATCCCTGGTTCTACCAATGAGCCTGGCTCACTGGTCTGTCCTCTAGCTCTGCAGACCTACCCAGCTACCAAGACCACTGAGGATTAATTGACAATCCGTTGCCAAGTCAAGATTTACAAAGAATTAACAGCATAAAAACAGGCCCAACCAGTCTATGCTGGTGTTCATATGCCACGAGTCTACCAACTCCTTAGCCTTCCCCATACCCTTCTATTCTCTCCCTCATGTGAAAGTCTAGTTTTTTCTTGCATGCATACTAGCTAATTCAACCTCCACTTTAGGCAATGAGTACCACAATCTCACTACCCTCTGCGTGAAGAAGTACCTCCTAAACTTTCTTTTGGATCTCTCTAGTCTCTTATGTTTAATTCAGCTCCAATAAGACCCCACTTAACTTACCAAATCGATGTGCCCACTGTGAAGCTGCCTTCGCCTCTGGGATGCTCAGTGTTGTGTAGTCACTGTATTTGTAGACAAAAGGGGCAGCTAATTTGCATAAAGCAATGTCTCACAACAGCCATAAAGTGAGTGACCAATGTTATTTGGGTTGATTTTCAGCTAGGATACCCAGAGAAACTCCATTCTTTTCAAATAATGCCATGGGATCCCTAATGTCCTCCTGAACAGGCAGACAAAGCCTTGGTTTAACAGACAAATAAAGCACAGCACATTCCACACTAGAGTGTTAACCCACAATATTAATGTGTTCAAACCAACTCCCCCTTCCTCCAAAATCACTAGTTCCCTTCAGATTTTGTTTGAATACAATGTTTAAAAATACTTAGCATGGAACAAATGAATTAGAAAGAACCATACCATGTTCATATTTCCAGAACATGTTCCTGGCCAATAATCCCCCCAAATAAAATTGATCATTCGTTACATGGCTGTTGGGGGAACATTGCTGGGAGCAAACTGGCTTTCCCTTTCATCTACAAATAGTTACTACATTTTACAGTAAACCTGTGAAACATTTTGAGACATTCAACAATGTGTTAAGTTGCTATATCAAATGTAGGGATCATCATTTAATATAAATTCAGCAGCAAATAATTTACCTCGGGAACCATTTAGCATGTTCCACCCATGGGTCATCTCCAGACTCCCAGCTCCTCAGGCCACCATCACAGTAAAAACATTTCACATCATCATTTTGACCTTGATATTATCAAAAATAAAATTAAAAATCAGTTAATTCTCAACAGCTTTTAAGCTCTATGGTATTAAGAGCAAATGCAGCTGCAAGAATAGTGAACATGTACAGAACACTAATAAATGGCTGGCCTCAAAATTAATTTTTAATTGCCTACCAGTAATGTTAAATGGTAACTAAGAAGCATAGAAACAAAACATGGTGCACTACCATGGTGCCATCAACTTTAAACACCATGTCAACTCAAAAAGATTCAATAGCCCAATTAGAGTGATGGAAGTTTATAAGTTTAAATTTAAGTTTTTTTTCCCCACCCCCCGAGATGCATTCTAAACACTCTGCATACATCTTCAAATTAGATTTAATATGGTCCCACAGCCTATTCAACTCCATAAACATTTTATGAACAGCAATATTTTGTGCTACAATATGTCACATTAGAAACACACAAGCTTCTTACCAACATAGTAGAATCCAGCTCTCGCTAGCTGTTCAGGTTGAATCAGATTTCTAACAGGCCACCTGAGGAAAGTGTGCAATCTGATTTCATAAGATTGCATGTCAGGAAATCTAGCATGTGTAGCTCGTACAGATTCCGGCCTTCCCTCAAGTCTTAGAGATTCTGTACTGCTCATGGGAATGTTACCCTCGTGGTTCCCCAGAACAAAAGGACAAAAAGGAAAGTGTCTTCGATGCTCAGACATTGGATGATCCCCAGGCTCCCAGTTACTTAATTTTTCACCACAAGCAAAGCAGGCTACTCGATCTTCTGTCCCAGTATAGTAAAACCCAGCTCTAGCAAGCTCTACTGGAGCTAATGTAGAATAGGAGGGCCAATTCTGAAATGTCTGAAGCCTAATTTCTTCACTGTACATCGCTGCATTGTACTGCAGAGATCGTACATCTTCCACACTTCTGGAAACCACTGGATCGATTGGAATACTGCGATAGATGGTATTTTGCATTCTATTTTCATGAAAAGGTGACTGAATCGGTGTCATATTTGGAGCATAAAATGCAGAACGTGTAGAAGGAAAGAAATCAATACTTGGATTTAGGGTTTGAATAAAACTACAGTTCGGACTGCACTGCTTGTGCCTTTCAACAGCATTATCTCCTGCTTGCCACTGATCAATGGTTGCTTTACAACTGAAACACTGCACTCGGTCACTCACTCCAGTATAATAGAAACCAGCACGTGCAAGACTTCTCTCGGACACCAGCTCAGTTGAAGGAAAATTAGCAAATGTTGAAATCCGGTAAAGTTCTGAGGTCATGTCGTATTGCAGTTCTTGATCTCTGGCTATCCTGAGACCACCAAAAGCCTGATTTTGTACTAAATTCATATTTAGTTTTCTGAACAATGGGGGGGGGCTTGACCTTTTTCTAGGAGGGAGCTTAGTTGCTGTTGTCAGCAAATTCACCTTGCAAGATGAATCCAGGACAGAATTCCATTAAAGAATCAAAATCCAATAGGAAAATGTGATAATCCAATTTTATGCCACAATTACATTGTCACAATAAATAAGGTGACACGGCTGTCTTTCAGAGACAGAAACCCACAAAGATTGCTTTCATAAATGTTCTTAAAGTCAGTACCACCTCTACAAGAAAATAAACATTGCTACTGAACAGCAAACATAATACTGGTTCCATAGCATTACGAAGGAAATTAACCGTAAGAATAATTTTCCTTCTGTTTCTAGCTCATTTGTGGCGTACTCCACTATTTCCAGTTATATAATTTAATGAATTTTAAATGTTTCTCTGCAGGAACACATAATCCACAATAAAATCAAAAACTGGAATATTCCATGTCACTTTAGGTTTTAAATGGGTGCATTACTATTTCATGTAATTGAATGTAATCTTTCCAACAGTAAATCAAATTCCTCGCTGACGTAAGTCCTCTGCCTCATTTTCTTATGTTGAGTGCTGTCACCTTTTAAAGTAGGCATAATGCAACAGTGGTTAATTTTGCTTTAAGAAATATTTGGGATGGTTAATTTGTTTTAACAAACATAGCTACAGCGGAACTGAGCCATGAAGTTCTAATTTACTACTATGCCCATGCAAAAGATTGAAAACAGGGCAAACAGGATCAAAGCTCCCTCCAGAAAAAGGTCAACGCCCACGTGAAGGTTTAAGTCTGCATCCTGAAGTTTGAGTTTCAGATTAAGAATCAGTAAAGTTCTAGAATTGGTATCAGCTTTACTTAATGGGACAACAGCAGTCTCTGGCCAAAGTGCTCCAAATAAATCTAGGTGAATCAAAGATAATCTGAAGTAACCTAGAATAAAGAAAGGATAATGATAATTAGCAAAGCAGTTTTGATAAAAACTAAATCAGAAGTACTTAATAATAAATTAATAATCGACATCTCAAAGCGCTTCACAGAATATGCTGTAAAGTGAATTGACTGTATATTACTGTATAGACACAACCTGACAATGGGCTACAATGCTACTTACTAAGAGGGCACAGTGCAGACATTCGAGCAACTGTATACAAGTGATTTCCAAGTAACTGCACAGATGAGAATCTTATTTTACAGAAATTGTTGTGACCAAGTCAAGCCACAAACTCAATATTATAAATTCAGTAGCAAGAATCCCCACCACAATTCCCACTGACTCTTTATGGTAAGATTTTTAAAAATAACATTATACATAATCCTACCATGTACTAAGAATGATTCTTGTCAGAAACAATTACTGTTAATTATACAAAGTGGAAATTCCCACCAAGGAGGAACATGCATTAATGATGAATAGAATGAATCCATGATAAGTGTGTGTATAGGTTTAAAAATTAAGCATTAACTGAGATTTTGTTCTATTCCAATTGAACACTCAATACACTCAATTAAATAAATTGGTGTTGCAATCAGTTAGCTCCTTCAAACAAAAAAGACATTGCTAGAGATCAGCATTAAATATAAATGCTCCCCAGGATAGACAAATGCTCCATGAGCCATTGATTTCTGTGCTACTGGGGGAGGGGGGATGCTTCTGAGGCAGAAGGAAGTCATGCTTCAGTAATAAAAATGGAAGAATACTTAGAAATTTGGGTTTTATTACTCCTGGAGTTCCTAGAAACTGGACCTTTCTCAGAGAAGATAAAGTTGACGATTCAGTAAATTTTCTAGGAAGGGGTGAAATTGAAACCCATCCGTTTGTGGGACACTTCTGTGCGCAATTGGCTGCCGCTTTTCGTCCACAAAATACAGTCATTACACTTTACAGTATATTCTGTTAAGCGCTTTTGAGATGTTTCAATGACGCGATAAGGCGCTATGTCATTATAATAAGGATTATAATTATTATCTGGTTCTTAGCAATCCTGCAAAACAGTCTCACGGTGTGATCCTTTCAGGGGAGCTGTGGAGAAGGAGAGAAAGCCTTTTGAACTTCACTAAACATTTTGATGGCTCATCTCATTGCAGTGATCGTGTCAAGAACCTTACTCAGGATTTGGCATTTCTTTGTCCACTAATGTCTTTGATGGGAGTATTAATAACATGCAATACTAAAGAATCTAGCTACCTTATGTTCCCCAAGGTACATTTCAGCTATCTAATTTCTTTTCAAATTGCTCTTCCATTGTTTCTACACATCAATGACATACAACAACAACAACTTGCACTTATATAGCACCCTCCACGCAGGAGTAAATGACGGAGCCTGACTCCGAGCCGGGGGGAAGCGGCCGTAAGCCCAATGGATGAATGACAACCATTCATCGCTCAACTCCACCTATTTTCTTTGCTGCCAAATACACTAATATTTATTCGCTTCCTTCTGAATCGTACAAACCTCATTAGTCTCAATACAAGTGAAACACTCTGCCTCAATTTACTCTATATTATTATTAACTTATATTATTAATAACAATTATTAATTTCAGCGCCTTGGGACGTCCGCCCGACCCGAAAGGCGCTTTACAAATGTGATCCTGTTGTTGTAATAATGTACTATTAATTTCCTCTGTGCTCTGCGATGGGCAATTGATTTGCCCCCTCCACCCCCCACCCCACCAAAAAAAAAATCATGGAAGGAGAGCTTCTTCTTACCACCTTCTTCTTACCTTTGATGGCTCTGCTCTTGAATATTTCTATACTTAAAACTGGGGCACTATCTCAATCCGACCTCTCACATCTCTCTCTCTTTCTTTCTCTCTCTCTTACACACACACACACACTCTCTCTCTCTCTCTCTCTCTCCTCCAATGCTAACTCATCGCCTCCGAGAGGCTCAAAACAATTTCCTCATATAATTGTTTTTAAAACTGAAAACCGGTTTTACAGCTCTCACACACAAGAGAAGCACTGCCTCAAACTCACTCACTCGCTCTCTCACTCACTCACTCACTCTCTCTCTCTCTCACTGGGGAGGAAAGGCACCACAACACGAAGTGATGGGGGATGACGGGTTTCACTCACTCCCATCGCTTACCTTCTTCCTTCACCAGTTCTCTTTCGGACTCGGGAGGGGAGTGGAGGGGGAAAAAGAAGAGTGTTTGGGAGATAGAAAGAAACGTCGATTCAAATCTCTCTCTTCCCCCTTCCTTCCTTCCTTCCTTTCGTTCTCTCTCTCTCTCCCTTTCGTTCTCTCTCTCTTTCTCTCTTTCTCTCTTTCTTTCTTTCTTTCTTTCTCGGAAACCGAAACTAACCAGAAAAATCCGAGTCAACGTTTCCAGTAAAAAAAAAGCCCGGACTGTGCAGGAAAAGGGAGTGTCGCAACCCCCAGACCCACACCCACACACCCACAGACAGACGCACACGGACGGACGGCATTTGGCAACGGTTATATGAGGGCAGGAACCCCCCCGACCCCGTGTGTGGGAAGTGTGGGCGGGTGTGAATGTCCCCGTGTCAGGAGGTCACTTCGCTCACTCACTCGATCGCTCGCTGCATCGACGGGACAATTTAACACCCACTTCTCAGTGGTTCGGGCGGACATTTTACATTTCACGCTGAGCCCCAGCCCTGGGCGGGCGGACATTTTACAACCACTCCGGGGCCCCGAGTCTGGGCGTTGTCCCGCGGTCGGAGGGGGGAAACAAACGGGAGTTGTACAAATGGCCGCGTCACCTTCAGGACATAGGCCGTCTGTCTGTGTGTCTGTGTGTGTGTCTGTGTCTCGCTCCCACCTCCTCCCCCGCCTTGTTCTCCGGCTTAGGATCTTCTTTCCGACCGACGACGACAACGGCGGCGTCGTCGTCTGCGCCACTCAGTCTGTCTGACACTCAAGTCACTGGAGGCGGTCAAATACCAGTCCCGGGAGAGGGGGAGAGAGAGAGAGAGGGGATTCACACACAATGACCTGACCTTAATCTCCCTCTCCCTCTCCCTCCCTCCCTCTCTCTCTCTCTCCCTTCCCCCCAGAAAAAAACAACGCATCAACAAGCACAGAGCAAAGCGATTTACCTGGTACCCGGGGTGGGGTGGGGTGGGGCGGTGAGGGGGGAGTGAGTCCGGCGACGTGGAGAGTAGAGGTGAGTTACACGCAGCAAAACCGTCAGCGGGGACTTCCCACTCCTCCCCCCCACACCCCACAGTCACGAGGTCCTGTCACTCCCTCCAGTTTGTTTTGTGCTGCACTGTGTGTGTGTGTCCCTCCCTCCCATCCAACTTGTTCTTCCTCAATCCATCTACTGTGTATGTGTCCCTCCTTCCCATCCAACTTGTTCTTCCTCAATCCATCTACTGTGTATGTGTGTGTCTGTGTCCCTCCCTCCCATCCAACTTGTTCTTCCTCAATCCATCTACTGTGTATGTGTCCCTCCCTCCCATCCAACTTGTTCTTCCTCAACCCATCTATTGTGTGTGTGTGTGTCCCTCTCTCCCATCCAACTTGTTCTTCCTCAACCCATCTACTGTGTATGTGTGTGTCTGTGTCCCTCCCTCCCATCCTTGTTCTTCCTCAATCCATCTACTGTGTATGTGTGTGTGTGTCCCTCCCTCCCTCCCATCCAACTTGTTCTTCCTCAACCCATCTATTGTGTGTGTGTGTGTGTGTCCCTCTCTCCCATCCAACTTGTTCTCCCTCAACCCACCTACTGTGTGTGTGTGTCCCTCTCCCATCCAACTTGTTCTCCCTCAACCCACCTACTGTGTGTGTGTGTCCCTCTCTCCCATCCAACTTGTTCTCCCTCAACCCACCTACTGTGTGTGCCCTCCCCCCCCCCCCACTCTCTCCAGCTCGTTTTATATTTTACACACTTGTGCTAAGCTGGAGTGAGGATCCCTGACATGAAAGGCGCTCCACGAATGTAATTTTGTTGTCGTCTGCCTGTGTGCCCCTCTCCTCCGGCTGGGGTGGGGGGAAAAAATAGGTTTAAACCGCCCGGCTCTACCCAGATCTAGACCGGTTCCACGGTGACATGCCGGGCCAGCCCGGCGTCAGAACTTGGAGCCAACTCCTCCGCCAGCCTTCTCGGAAAGTCGAGTCCCCGCGAGCACTGCACTGCAGATGACAGACCAGCCAGCCTGACGCATTCATTCCATTCCCAGGAAAATTTTGTGTGTAGGTGGGATTCGTTATTGGCAGTGCAACTCTCTTTCTGACGCGAAGGGTGCAATAGTGTAATTTGTTGCTTTTGTTGATTTGGTTACGCTTGGCGGTGGGTTTCCATATGTGTCAGACACACAGCTAACCTAAAAAAGAAAAATTCCTTCTCTTGCCAATTTTGAAACATATTCTTGTAAGATTAAGTGTATGCTTTCTTTTTCCCCATCTGTGTCTCATCCTTTGTAATTGTAAGCATGCGTATACCTTTTTGAGCTGAACAAGCTTTTCCTAATAGCAGTTTTGAAATAAATTGCTTTCTTCCTCCCCCCCCCCCCCATTGTCCCACCTTTGTGGATTTGCTGTAATATTTTGAGAGACAGAGGAAAATTTAAGGAGATATTTTCAGAGAGCAAAGGAAAACTAGCAGAAAGCTTGCCCACCACCAGTGACGTGGTTGGTAGACCAGAGTTATCGGAACAGGAGCGTAGGATGTCACAAAATTAGAGTAGTGTGTGGGGAAATGGCTTGGAGGCATTTGAAGGTCAGAAATGAGGATCTTTTAATGATTTTATATGATTAAAAATGTCTTGGTCAACTTTTTTTTGCACAGTGTACAGTACTGTTTTTAATTGTGAACAAAATGAATACTTTTTTTGATGAATTCAATGTAAATGAGGATTGGAACATGTGGATTATCATCAACTGATGGTAATCCTGATAGCATGACCAATGGAAAATGTTTTTGTGTTTTGGTTTCATGGTTACATAAGCGAACAACTTCCGTCACATAAATACATACAGGCGTGGGGACTTTCCACAATCTGAAACATGTTATCAGGGTTATTTTCCCACTTCCTCCCTATTGACTACCACAGCAGGCCTTTTGGTTTTTTAAACTATTTGTCAGAATGAATTGGATCATTAAATTTTTATCTACACCATTGCAGCTGGAGTATAGAGTTTCCAGGTGGAATGTTAACTCCTGCTGGATTTATAGAGCTGGAGTGATTTGTTATTGGTGCACAAACAAGCTGAAACTCTTTCGCTTTCAAATTAATAGCATTAATAGATTATTTGGAACGCGTCACAAATGGGACATACCAGTGAATTATTTCAGCAAGGAATCTTTGTTAGCTTTATATCTAAACTTTCAGGTCTCATGTATGTTCATAAAATGGGGTTAGCTTGCATTCATTTTTCAAGATATGGATATCTTGGCTAATTCAAACTGAAGTATAATTTCCTAATGAACTCTTATTTAAAGGCATTACAACACTAAGCCACAAAAAAAAATGTTACAGGGACAATCCCAGTCTGTGTTGGGATAGTTGATCTAAGCCAGGGCAGCAGTTAGTTCTAAGAATTCTTCAGTTAACCTCAATGTCCTTTAATTGGGAGGGGAAAACCAGCCAAAGTTCCCAATCCTGATTATTAGTTCACAAATTCCTGCTAGAAAGTACTTGTTGAGCCAGAACAACTGGGGATTACTCCAGGATCATATTACTCCCTTTTTTTTCTTCCAGAATTATTCACCGGTGCCAGTGTATTTGTAATTGTACAAAACTTCAAATTATCAAAACCCACACAAGTGTAAAGATTAAGTTTATAGCATTTTTATGGTGAATCCCATGCAATCTGGACTCTGTATTCATACTTGCTGATATCTATATTTGGAGATGTGTCCCTTTTATAATATCAGGCAGCTGTATTGATTGTCATGGTTCAAAGGAAACAAAAAGTGCTGGAAATCCGAAATGAAAATAGTCAATGGACCTGCAGAGCGATGCCAGCATTTTCTGATTCCAATTAATGTTTTTCTTTAAAATGCATGTTAGATATGGTATGCACATTTCTAAACAATATACAATAAACTCCAGGTATCTCCTCTCTGGCTTAAGTCTTCATGCTCGGCTTCAATATCACGGCCACTTTCCATCCACAATATTAGTAAAGAACATTGCTTTGATTGTCGCTCTAGTTAACATGTAACGTGTTGCATTCTAGATATTCTTGTAAGTACTTACAATTTAATGTTGATTGGTTACCTCATCCTATAAGATTGTGTCTTGCATCACAGAGGCCTCCTGGCTTGTCCCCCATTGGATTTCTGACGACTTAAGTAATAGTGATAAGTTGGGGTGGAGTTATCCGGAGTTTACTGTGGTTTCCAGAGGGAAGTAACAACAACAAAATTACATTTGTATAACGCCTTTCACCTCGGGAAGATATCCCAAGGCGCTGGACAATCAGTGTTTCGGACCAGAGCTGGGGTTTGGGATCGGGGTGGGTGGGGGGGAAGGAGGGTTGAAGACATGGTCGAAGAGGAGGTTCTTGAGATGGGTCGTGAAGGAGGCAAGGTCAGGGGCGAGGCGGTGAAACTGCGGGATGGAATTCCAGAGGGTGGGAGCAGAGTGGCTGAAGGCTGGCCTGCCAATGGTGGGGCGGCGAGGTGGGGGCTATGAAGCAGGCCAGAGCCATGTAGATGGTATATGAAGGTTAAAGGCTTGAAGGGATATGGATGGCGATAGAGGATCGAGTGCAGCTGAGAGCTGGTGCAGACTTAATGAACCAAATAGGCTCCTTTTGCACAGTAAATTTCTAGGATTCTATGAGTTTGAATTGTTTATAAAGGTTGGATTGAAGAATCAACCCAACAGTATATAGTTTTAAACTCAGAATTAACTACTAGATTTAAACATTTAAAGGTGTGATGGAAAGTGCTAATCTTACTCAGCAATTGTATAAATAGTGCACCCATGGTTGTTAGTGTCATTTGTTATTTACTCAAATTGTGGATTCAGCTGGACATAAAGCATCAGCTTCTTTGCCAGTTGTCTGTGATCTGGTTAGTTCCACTTGTGTGAATATTGTATTGCACTACAATCATATATTTTCTGCATCAGTGTTATTTTAAAGCAATGTCAGGCTTTTGAGATACTTTGCCAACCATCTTGCTTCAAATTTCCAGTTGTTGCAGTGAAATTGACAATTAAGTGCCTTCAATAATCATTTTTCAGGTGTTAACGTCAGCATATGGCTAAAATTGAAATGTGATTTCAGATGGTTAACCTCAAGCAGTATCCCAATACATACACTGGGGTGTCCAAGCCTTGCTTTCACCAACCTGTACCTAATATTTTTTGGAATTAGAGAAGTCAAGCACCTTCCAGGGATTCAAAGTGCGTTTTCTATTCCAGACAAAGGGAAATTTACATGTGTGGGTCACATGCATATGTGAAACTCTACAGGACCTGACAATAATTTTGTGACTGAAATTTTGCTGTTGACCAAGTTTCAATTTGATTGAATCTCTTCTGAAATGTCACAAATGAAATGTCACAAATTTCCCCATAATTTACAGGTATTATCATGGCTATATTGTAGAGTAACTAATGTTTTCCTTTGGTGTCTTTCTTCAAGTTGCGCGGGTCTGACTACTGCAGTTCTGATGGATTGATTGCCTGCCAGACATCAAGTTTTGAAAGAGCTTTAGTTTCCTTTAACTGAATTTCACTTCACGTCTTCTGCTCCATCATTAGTGGCTAAACTTTCAGCCACTTTACCCCACTGTAGAATTCTTTCCCTAAATCTGAGCTACATCCACCCTCTCTGCTTGCAAAACTATTCTAAAAACCTACATCTTTGACTGCAACTTTGATAACCTATCTCCACATCTTCCACTATGCTCGGGCTCCCACTCTGTCTAGTTGTTGTTGACCTTCTGGATCTTCCAAGTCTCTGGGTTATTCTCTTACTCTCTTTTAAATGCTGCTTTTCTTCCCATCTTGTTTGGATGCTGGAGGCTGTG